AAAAAAAAAAATTCTGGATACGCCAATGGTAGTATTATACATTTAAATTTTGATAATAGAACTCGTAAAAATTGTAGGTATGTGTATCATGCATAATAGGAAATAAGTATATAAAAATATCAGTTAAATATGAATAACTTGACTTTGGTTTATCTTATTTGTTTGATTGTTTCAACTATACTTTAATGATCAAAGATTATACTTTATATTAAACAATTATTTGATAATATATACTTACGAATTTACAACAGCAGTCTCGGTCTGGCACACCCGGTTACCCGACGATCGCCGGGGGCCCTTCGATATTTTTCAATATTAGAGGCCTACAGCCAATTGTAAATGTAATAAAAAATATGCATGTGTTTAAAATTCTAATCGGGTACAACTTTAATAAATATGTAAGCATTTAACTTGTGTTCTTGTTTGCTTAGTGTATTGTTTTACTTTAAATTGATTAAACATGAATTGTATTTTAATTTAACACGATAACATATTTTTAAATTTTTCTTATTACGTATTTTTTATTTTTTTTTACATACTTTGGTAATTTTAATTACATATGTATGTAGATATTTTTGGTTTTTTATTGCATATAAAACCCAGCCCTATAGGCTGTAGTAATAATAATAATGATCCGTATTTTTTCCTGAATGCGATTTCGGTTTTAAATTTAAATGTGTAGGCAAAAATGTTTGATCATCGATGTATTTATCGATATATCGAAGACTAAACATCGATTTCGGTTAGGTAAAAATAAAATTACGCACACCTAACTTTTATAATTTACAATTACGACATTTTTTTTATAAATATTTTTTTTTTATTTTAGTGGATATTGAGCCGTCAAAAAACGATGATCGTAAATATGTACAAGGATTTAAAATCGAAGGATCCAGATATGCCGTACAAGCAAATTATGTCGAAGATTTCGCAAACCTTGGGTATTGGCTTGAATTCAGTATGTAAAATAATTTCTGAGTACAAATCAACCGGAACTGTTGCATCTCCTACCAAGACACGGAGTAAGAAGTGTCTATTCGACAAAATTGACGATTTGGATAGGAATGGGATACGTCAAAAGGTACACAGTTTTTGGTTGAAAAAGGAACTGCCGACAATCGACAAGGTTTTGGAGGCAGTGAATGATGATCCGGCTCTTCCTAACTTCAAACGCACTACATTGTACACTACTATTAAAAAATTGGATTTTGCCTTTATTAAAAGAAAGAGATGTAGTGTGTTGACGGAGAGGGAAGACTTGCTTGTTTGGCGGCAAAACTACTTGTACGATATTCGCAAATTCCGTGAAGAAGGTCGTACCGTCTATTATCTGGATGAAACCTGGGTCAATGCAGGCGATTGTGTTGATAAGTTGTGGGTTGACAAATCAATAAAATCAAAACACGATGCGTTTACCAGAGGTTTGACGACTGGTGCGACGAACCCTACTGGTAAGGATCAGCGTTTAATTGTGTTGCATATTGGATCACACAAAGGATTTTTAGAAGGTGGACTGCTATGTTTTTTGTCCAAGAAAAATAGTAGCGATTATCATGACGAGATGAATAGCAACAATTTTCATGAATGGTTTGAATCAATAATTCCACATCTCGATCCAAACTCTGTAATCGTAATGGATAATGCCCCGTACCATACGGCGAGGATAGAAAAGATACCGACGGCTTCCTCAAAAAAGGACGAAATTTTGTCATGGTTAACATCAAAAGGCATTGTAATTGACAAATCTATGTTTAAACCACAACTAATGGCGAAGGTTAGAAAAATAAAAAGTCGATATATTTCTTATGTCGTCGACAATATGGCCAAGAATGCTGGCCATACTGTACTCAGATTGCCACTCTATCATAGTGAGTTAAATCCCATTGAATTGGCATGGGCAATGGTAAAGACCTATGTCAAGCAGAACAATACCACATATAACATTGACGACGTTAAGAGTTTACTGAATACTGCAATTGATCGTGTAACCAGTGAAAATTGGAAAAATTTTATTGAACACGTCAAAAGGGAGGAGAATAAAATGACAGAAGTCGATCGCAATATGGATGAAATTATTGATAATTTGGAACCATGTGTCCTCACCATAACAGGCGAGACTTCAGATTCTTCTGATTTTTAAATGTATTATAATGTATATAATTATTGTCTCATGTAAAAAAATTAATTTATTATGTATTTATATTGTATTTAAAATTGCTATTATTATTTTGACGATCATTTTAACATTTTCGTGATTAATATTGTATTTAAAATTGCTATTATTATTTWGACGGTCATTTAAAAATGTTTGTGATTTATATATGATAAATTGTTATATGAACAAATGTAAATATTAATAGTTTTAATTTATGAATAACTGGTGTATACGTAATTGTTTTGTATAATATTTACTATACCATATTGTGGTATTGTTAATAAACAAATGAATATTTTAATTATTTTTACTTCATATCATGGATTGAGTATAAAATACAAAATATAATATCTTGTATTAAATATAGTATATTTAATATAATATTACAGTGTAAGTAAACCGTTTGGTAACCACGACGGACAGACATGCAGAATATACGGGCAATGTATTTTAAATTATGTACACACATCGGCAGTCGATACTAGACTAATTAGAGCTCCCGTCCGCGGCGGCGCGTCAAGCGCTACCACTGAACAAAAGCCACGCCCATGCGCACAACTTGGCCGCCGAGTCATCATCTCATTTTGAACATAGTTTATAGTGACCGATAATATTATGAGGCGCACATCACACGACTTCGACGTATTTCATGATACTAAATAAAATTAGAGTATTTTAAATTATATGAAATTTCGAGTATGTATTGTTAAAATAAACAAAGAGACTACTTTGATACTTTACTTTTAGTCCCAGTCTCCCATTGGATAGACTATATTATAATAAAACATATAGTGCGTATGCGCGGATATTGATGACGATCGATATATATATATATATATATATACTATTAATACTGTGTTTAATAATCAGAGATATGAATAGCAAGATGTGAGTGACAATTTTATGAACGACATTCTAAAACAGCTGTTTTAACAGCTATATAATAATTACATTGTTTTTATATTTTTATTATATACTAAAAATATTTACTGTCGAAAGTGTCTGGTATTTATACCCTTTTCAACAATCTAGTCCGGCGCTGGTTGGTCGTGCGGGTCTTCGTTTGACAGATGAAAATCACACCGTTGTCAATGATGAGAGTGGTATGTATTTATTATTTATGTTAATTTGAGGTACCTACTCCATAGACCTTATACTCATAGACGGAGCATGGGTATAGTTCCAGCGGTCAGACGTGAGTGCGCTGTTCGACTATTACTCAATTACTACGCACATGCGCAATAGAATTTCAGGTTGGGTGATCGGTTGTTGTGTTTTAAAAATTATTGTTTGATAACGGATATTGTTAACGATTATTGTTTTTAAGTTTTAACTCTTAACCTAGTGTTCTGGCTAGCTTCTGCCGCTTCTGCAGTCTGGCTATTTAAATAAGTTATTACCTATTAGTTATTCTAATATAAAGTTGTTTTAGTAGCTTAATTATTAATATTTTTATAATAATAATGGTCWTAAAGTGTGTTGTTTGTGACGTTCAGTTCAAAACAAAAACTGAAAAAAAATTTCATTCGTAAGTTATATTTTAGAAAATACCCAAAAATTTAGATTTCTTCATTTTTGTTATTAATATATTTTACTATTTGAAAATATTATGCTAAATTTACTTCAGATTTCCTAAAGATGAATCACGTAAGATCCAGTGGAAAAAAGCATGTGGGCTAAATTTGTGTTTACCTTCATACAGGGTATGCTCTGATCATTTTTTGCCTGAAGATTACGAGTTAAGTGGGCTTCTAAAGAAAGATGCTGTTCCCTGGTAATACTTTATAATAATATTTTGATTTGAAAAATAATAATGTAATGTGAGTTTACTTTATTGCTTTTAGTAAAGAAAATAGATAGAATAAGAGCGATACAATAATAATGACAATAGATCAGCCTCCTGTGTCTAATATCTGTGTCACTCCTAGGTAAAATTTAACATTATTTTAACATTGCATTATTTTATTATATACCTATCATGTCATATTATGTCATTAGGTACCTATATGTAATAATATTATAGGTATAACTACCTATATTATATTGTGTCTATAATACAAAATTATAAGTTATTTTAATTTCAGAAAGCATAATTTGGATGATGTAGATCATTGTTCACCACCTCAATTATCACCCAGTGTAAAGAGGTGTAAACGTTTAAATCCAGACACTATTGGAATATTGTCTCCTACTCATTTTAGTACTCCAAAACGTACTAAACGGAATATACAAATGGTGAAAGATAAATACAGACAAAAACAAATTCAAAATCACAACCTTAAAAAGAAAGTACAAAGACTTAATGCAAAACTCAAGACATATGAATTAATTGAAAAATTACAACATAAAAACTTACTGTCTGAAAGGGCATAGCCCATTCGGCTCCCGATTTTCCTAAACGGCTCCCGTTTTCAAAAAGGTCAATTCCCAAACAGCTCCCGTCAAAAAAGGTTTTACGAACAGGTCAATACCCAAACGGCTCCCATCGAAAAAAAGTTTTACTATCAGGTAAAATCCGGGTAGTAATCCTGTTTTTTACAACACAAATTCCTTCCCACTTCATACAGACTTAGGACTGTCTCTAAAGAGGTATGGTTAAAAATGTGTTGTTATTTTTTAAGGTTAAATTATAAAAATTTATTCTGTGAATCAAATGTAAAAAAGTTTTAAAAATAGACAAAAATGTATGAATAAAAATATAAAAAAAATGTATGTATAAAAATATAAAAAAAAATTATAGAATAGGTAAATTTTTGATGCACAATTTTTTTTATATAATCTATGGTAGTTATTTTATTTGATGAAAATTCTCGGAAATGTTTTCAATGAGCTCCTGGTTTTTTGTTGGTTTTGGTGTATTTACACCACTTCGAGCTTAATTTGTGTTTCGGATTGTATTTCGGTTAGTATGTCAATAACCTTAAAAATATTAGGATGAGCAGAATTGAATTCATTGTTGAATCTGCTGTGGAACGATTCACAGCCATTTGTGGTCAAAGCAAGGGAAGATGAACATTCAGCCCACATTTCAGGAGRAAAACGACTATCTGACATCATATAATTTTCAAAAATATAGTSGAACACTTTGTCCACTTTATCGTTTTCGTCTATCGGTTTGATAGCCATTAAATCATCTRTAAAACAGTTCAATACTTCTGACGGTGGTAGGTAAGGAAGGCCAAATAAATATTTTAGAGATTTTCCTATTTCAGAATCTTTGTTTCTGAATTCTGATGCAAGTCCAACTGACTGAATCTTCCGCCACCAACTCTGACCCAAATGGAATCTGCATCCCTTTATTTTTACCGATGGCCACGTTTTTCGTATTGCAAAATGAATAGCCTCTTCAAAATCTGCGAAAACAACTTGTGGGTCAATGTAATCACACAATGCTGAAAAAGCTTTTCCGTAGGTACCCGAGGTTTTATTAKGCAAAAAACAGTAAATCAGGGGAAGATAGTATCCGTTATGTAAAACATGGATGGTAAACATTTGGTAAAAAAAWTTTGTAAAAATATTGTAAAATCGTGCGTCTTAAAATGTGCACGTTTTTCGACGGGAGCTGTTTGGTAATTTACCTGTTCGTAAAACCTTTTTCGACGGGAGCCGTTTGGGTATTGACCTGTTCGTAAAACCTTTTTTGACGGGAGCCGTTTAGGAATAATAAACAATAGACGGGAGCCGTTTAGGTATTGACGGTCTGAAAATGCTTCTTATCACCTTCAAATATTGTTATAGATTATTATTTAATACCAGTCTTGAGCAGTGTTGAATTCGGATACTTTTTCCGGGGAGGGGGGGCACTATGAGATGTTGAATTAATATAATACATATCAACAAACTTTACTTTATTTATCTAATTGATATAATTGAACTTAAGCTTATAAAAACAATTAAATTTATTCAATATTTAAAAAATGTATAATTAATATTATCATAAAAATAGTCATAATAATCTTTGTCAAATGTCAACTCTAAAGGCATTTTATAGTGACTGACCGATATCAGTCATACCAATTAGAATTTCCAATTATATTCTTTTAAGGGGCTGTGTAATATGTACCTAGACCATTGAAATTGGTTCATTAATAAATAAATTATTTATTAACTGACATTTAACCGGGAGGGGGGCAAAAAAAACTTCAAGGAGGGGGGGACAGTTGCACTCCCAGATGTATACCTGGATTCAACACTGGTCTTGAGTAAAATACTTTTTAAAAGTATTTAGAATAAATACTTGAATACTCTWGGRAAATAGTATTCCGAATATGTATTTGAATACATCATACAAATAGTATTCYGAATAAAGTATKTAGAATACTAWAAAACTATTCCAAATACTTTTAAAATATTTTTAGTTTTAGATATTATAAAATAATAACCTAACCTAACCCACTTGCCTACCTTTTTGTATATTATTACATAATTTTATCATTATTATATTATATTATGTTTAAATATATTGTTTATAAATTAAAATTATAATATACTTCACTATGACAATTTATGATTCATGTTCTTWATTAGTTAATATGTTTAAGTTTCACAAAAAAAGTTGTGTGTGGTTGTAAAGTTCATTTTTTTTTAAATATTGTATCATTAAAATATTTTCAATTTTCAATAATGGTTAATATTTCATTTAAAACAGTCCTTTGGATCTGATACACTGCGTTCCTTGGTTGAGCGTAAAATATTGGGACAGAAAATACCTTTTASATCAGAGCTAAGAAAGTTTGCCATAACACTTCAATTTTATTCCAGTAAAGCTTATGAATAAGTTAGAAAAAGTTTTAAAAATGTTCTTCCTCACCAAAAGACAATAAGTACCTAAATGGTATAAAGTAGTTAATGGGGAACCTGGTTTTACTAGTGAAGCATTTCGGTGAGTTACATACAAATCCTGTATACTAAGACTGAATATTAAAATTGAATATTGCATATTAAAATGTTATCTAGTTGTATTGAAGCTAAAGCCAAGGATCAAA